GGAGAGAAATCAACATGACAATCAACATGTGAAAAAACGTTATAAACCTTGTCTAATTAAAACTACAACATAAACGATCCATGTGACAAAAGTAATAAAGATACAGCTGTGGCTAAGGAGACGGTAGGACGGAGGTTTGATTCCCAGTGCCTGCAGTCATCAAGCAAGATACTGAACTCCAAATTCCTCCAGATATCAAAGATTGTGTGGAAAAGAGTTTCCTCAAGAAGAAAGTCAAATTGTATTTAGAAAATTACTTTGCTTTCCAAATCATAAAACAAGATACTTTTATTATTTGACTTTCAATTTTTGTTCCATTCTCAGTAGAGATGAGACTACCATTAATATTGGCTGTGATTAAGGGCACACTTTTTAATGGATCTACAAACTAACTTGTAGTTATTGAGAGAAACTTCACAATCAGTAAGGAAGTGCTGAAAAAATGTAGCCACATTATAATCTTAGTCATTTTGATATTTTTCTACAGCATTATTTTAGTCTTTGGTTTTAACAGATATACAAATATTTTTTTCGGCCTGTTGGGGAGCCCTGATCCCAAAAAATGCAGACATGCACAATGGTCAGGTCAGTTCGTTCTTGTTAAAGACACGTTTCGAGCGAGCGTGCCATCGGACGTGCCATCACTAATGCACATTGTAGCCTTGCTTTGAAGGGCAAAATCTACTGGGAGATTAGCTAGGCACAAAAACAACTGGAACATTACTCTCTCTTAACATGACACATTATTCTCATACCAGAGTTGATTGACAAACTAATATTACCTTGCGACCCCCTTTCTAATCGTCACCCAATCTGACTGACGTTCTTGACCAAAAAATAAATAAAACACTAAAAAAAGATGAAAAGCTAAATGATTAGCTAAACGTTTACGTTTTTGCAGCTAAAGATTCTAGCCTGGTCACTGACTGGCTGACAAAGAAAATACAAAAATGATAGCCTACACCTCTTATTCTGATCAACTGTATTTCACATCATTTTCACAAACTTCAAAAGAACATGACACCGCATTTTAGGACGTTTGTATGCATTGTAAGGCACACTTCAGTTGCTAGCGTTAGTTAGCGATAGCTAACTAACGCTAGCACTAGCTAACATTGACACTTAAGACAACTAACTTACCACAGTGGAAGACGATGCATCATGACCAGGACTTGGGATGTTCTCGTTTCGGGAGTCGGCAGAATTGGGGCTTGCATCAGGGGGCTGTTTATTCAACCACCTCAGCATTTCTTTCTTCTTGTTTCTTTCTGTCGTGACCATTGCATTGGCGCAAGTCTAGCAGCAGTCAGCAGCAGAGTGGATGACGTAGAATGCATTCTATGATTTGACAGCCCAATGACTTTGCAAATAACACCAATTTTGAAGTTTACTTTTAATTTTTTTTTCACTGTCCCGAAATAGTCCCAGACAAAATAGATTTGTGTCCCAGTAGGAATTGTTATGGTCCCCGGGACATCGTTAGTTGCGAGCCCTGCTCGAGCCAGATGTCCATGTGCCAAAGCAGTGTTGTGCTTGATAGCGGGGTGCACAGTCTCTCCCTACAAGGGGAGCTGTAGTGGGCCGTTGCCCGCCGCGGGACGGGAAGAGGGACGATAGCTGACTGTCCAGGTTGTTCCCACTTGCAGCTCCAACAGTCGTTTGCGGCCCGGTTGTGGCCACGTTCGATAGCGTTCTAATAGTCTCAGCTGAGGCCAGAATACTACTTAGCAACGCTGCTGCATCAGTTAAGCTTTGTGCAGGCTGCTGAGCAGACATGTTGAAAAATATTGTTTTCGCTTTTTTGAAATTGGCGGTTCTTCGCTGTTTTTTTAAAACGACTTCCTGTTCAACTGAGATGCCTTCCGTTTCAACTGAAATCCCTCTCATTTTTTTCTTTTTTTTTATAAAATATTTTTTTTTCAATTTAATGTTACAAAACAAATATGACCATGTTCACGTCTTAAAGTCATCCTGAGGCCTTAGTTTTGGTTTAAAATTACACAACATCATGTATGTGTTGCTTCTTTTGGGCTTGTTTTCATAGACCTGGTTGCTTATTTCTCTCAAATCTGGCAACAGAGTGGGCGCAGTGTCTAATAGTAGCTGTAAGCTAACGAGAGGCTACGTTCAGCTGGTGACTCGGGAGTCGGAATAGAGAAAATGTCAGGAGTTTGGAAGTATTATAAAATTGAAAGTGAAGGCAGTGTAACAGCCAGATGCAATGTTTGCAAGACGGAGACTTTTAAAAGGAAAGAGAAACTGCCCCAGAACAGTGAAAAGGCCAACAAAATAACAGCCAAGATAGCTGAATTCATTGCATTTCGATGACCAGCCGCCATCTGTTACCTTTTTTTTCTCTTAATGCATTGCATAAAGATTGGATCGGGAAAAATCGGTATCGACAGATTGTCAAAATCAAATGATCGGAATCGGATCGGGAGCAAAAAAAGGTGATCGGGACATCCCTACTAAAAAGCGAACTATTCAGTTAGACAGCAATTTATTGTAAAAGTAAAGCATTTACATTTCCAAGCACTTTATCTCAATTTCAAGCACCATTCCCAAAATTCAAGCACTTTCCCAACCTTGAAAATACCACGTCAAATTTCAAGCATTTTCAAGGATTTCAAGCACTCGTACGAACCCTGACTACAGTTCAGAGGTACATGGTGTACTTTTCCTCCACTATATATATTTAATACCTTTAGTTACTTCACAGATGTGGATGAATGATGTGAAATCTAATCAAGTGTTGAATCAGACTTTAGTTCCACCTGGAGTAAATCCACAAGCTACCCTGCAGTATACAAAGTAATTCAAACTAGCTGCACCTTTACCAGCTTTGAGAACACTTTCATGATCAATCATTATAAAACATATCATATATATTATTCTGAAATTGACCAATCTGCACAATGACTACTTTTACAATATTTTGATGACAATACTTTTCTACTTTTACTTGAGGAACATTTTGAATGCAGTACTTTTACTATAACAGAGTATTCCTACACTCTGGTACTTCTACTTTTACTCAAGCTGCTGAAGTTAGACCCTCCTGGCGGAGCACCATAATTCACCTTCATCACCAATGTGTATTTTAATTAGTGATAATTAACTTGTATTTCTAAACAACACATCTTACATTCAAGTTGAAATACACAAGGGATACACTTTATGTTTTTAACTATCAGTTTAACTGTTTTCAACCACTTTTAACAGTTATTCTTAAGTTATTCTTAACATGAACATGGACAGATATTGCAGTCAGCATGTAGCAGCACTACAGCTAATGAAACAAATTAAATAACTAAAAGAGAGTGGTTTTAAGTAAAAGAAGATAAATGCTTTTTTAATATCTATGCTATCAGCTTCTGTTCTATGGAACTAACACGTGGTGTTAGCCGTTAGCTTCTGCTAGCGTTTAGCATCAACTCACAATTAGCGCTAGCTAGCATCGCTAGCTCGCGATTAGCATAAGCTAACGATCTTATCGTTTAACAATGATACAATGTGCACCAAAGTACATCAAAAACATTAGACATCACTTTCATAACCCCGATTGGTTTTTAAATGAAATGAATCTCATAATAAACAACAAAAACTGACTGTCATTGTCATATTAGCAGGCTAGCCCTTCAGTGCTAACAAGGAGCTCACAGCCTCAACTCACCGGAGTTTCTACACTTATAAGACGACACAGGCTGTCGTCTTTTAGTTCGGGTTCGCACAGGGGTTCTTGCAGGTCAGAGTTTGTCAGCTGCAGATCGGGTAGTAACAAGTACAAATAACACTTTAAAAAAAAAAACTATTAATAGGAGCTGCTCAACTTATGGTGTTCACAGGGGAAAAGAGAGAGAGAGGCGGAGTGATTCGCGCCACTCATTATCATGGGTGTACATTCTAGAGTGCTCCGTGCAGAAACAACAAGTATTAAATCTAAATGACATAAAGGGGTCTAGTAGCCCTATATTTCATATGGGTTACATAAGCTACTGCTTAATACATTCTTAAACATCCATTGGGGAAATGTTAGTATGGTAAATGATGAATTAATGGACAACAAATGGACAAGCGTTGACTACCGAGCCTATTTATAACTGACAACGTTATATTAAATTTAACATTACCTGTCTCTGCTCTGCTCCGTCCCGTGTGTGTGGCCTCACGCCAGTGGCGCCTCCAGAAATTATTCATAGGGGTGGCCAAATGGGGCCACTGAAAATCTTGGGGTGGCCCACCAAAACCAAGCATTTAATTGTTGTAAAAGTATAGACTAGATGAAAAACAATGGCAAAGAGAATCACCTACTGATATACTTTGGTTTCTTATTTTACATTTTCTGATACTATTCATCTGAAGTGAATATAATACGGAGAGTTAACATTTTACTTCAAACAACATTTAAAAGAACCTTGTTTTGTGTTATGTATACATGTGTTGGTGATTTATTGTTTTGTTTTTTATATATGCCAGTTGTTCTTTCCTTTTAAAAAGACAAATACAGCTTAATTTAAATAAGTTCCTTTATTGTAAAGGCACAACATGTTCAGCATTCTCAACACATACAATACACAAAGCAACACAACATGTTCTTCAGTTATATTATGTCTCTAGGTTATAACTTGTTTTAGACTGAACAAAGCTGTTTGTGTCACACTGGGATCAAAGATGATTGACATGACTTTATTAAATCAAGTTTTAAAACATGACTATTTTATTTCAACAGGACCCAAAAACACAAGGGGTATAACATGGTAAATACATACTGTGATTGAACACAAAAACACCATCTATTATTGACCTTTATAGCAAATTCAAAACATTATAAATGATACAAAACACCACCTTTTAGTATTAGACAGAAAATAGGTGACTAGACATATTTCTATTCTTTTAGATTAAGCCACTGTGGTGAGAGTAATACATATAACTTGTATATCATTTGTTTTGAACATGTATATTTATACTTTATAAACAAACTAGTTACCCTTTTTTTAAATTAGCATACAGAACATTATGAAAACAAACTTGACTAATGGTCAGCTCATAACCTCAGACCACAGAAGAGGAAAAGCTGCATAGATTCTCGTTTCATTTTGAAGGAGCTGCAGACCTAAAGTGTGGAGAAGACTTAAATGATTACAAAGGTCACAATCACATTAATAAAACTGTGCTTAGGTTTTAGTTTCACTTTTACAAAACAGAGTTCCACATGTACTTTCTAGCATGTATGGCCATCTCCTCACTAGCCCTATGCTGCTGCTCCCCTGCCAGCTCGGTCTCTCCTTTACTCATCTTCTTCTTACAATTAGAAGAGATGTCTGTTGACTTTCTCTTCATTTTCTGCAAATTGACATTACACACAGCAGTGATTAATAGTAGCCTACGCATTACACCAGCCCAGCATACCGACATCAGCTAACGTTAGCTTAGCAAGCTAAACAAACGCTAACTAGGATAGCTGCCAAAGTGTGTTTACAGAGGAATTATACCTGAAGTCAAGCCAGCCTTTACTGAGCCCCGAGCCTGTTTTCCAGGTTTTTCTCGTTTTAATGCCATTGAACACACATTTTGATCAGAATAACAGCTAAAGGTAAGCATATCTCCGTGTTTTGCTACCTAAAGCTAACACACTAAAGCCTAAAGTGTTGTGGGGCTTAACAGGCAACAAACGTATACGACTTACCTTCTAGAAGTCTGGTGGATTTTTGTCAACTCCAGTCCAGTCAGTAGAAAGAAACGTGTTGCTGCAACCTGCTGCTGTCTGTGTGAATCTCAGAGTGGTGCGCACGAGTATCAGAGTGGTGCGCTGAGTATCACAGTGTTACCATGGTAGCAGAGAGGGAGGGGCTGCAGTATGAGTGTTGGAAGCTCAAATCAAGCGACTCGCTGGCTGTGTATTTGTTGTTAAATATCAGATAAACTACTGCGCATACGTGACTGGCGAGGCGGTGTGTGTGGTGGGGGGGCCAACAAATATATCAGTGTGGCCATGGCCCCCCATGCCCCCCCCCCTGCTGGCGCCACTGCTGAAGGAGCCTCGGCCTAGTCCCAACTGGACGCCAAAGGACCCTGACCAAACGTCGCTCCTGGACGTTCAGGGAGTGAGACTGTGTTGCCTAAGCAGATTATGTTGATCTTGCGTGTAGATTCTGGGGGGTTTTGAAGTCCTAAAAAGATTGGACGGCCGTTCACCGGAGCCTTATCAGCACCGGAGTTCGGTATCGGAGACGGCCTAGGTATTAACATTGGTTGTATCGAAGTTAGATTCCTTTTCAATAGCAATAATAGTTGGGAGGGGGCGCGGCTGTTCTTATGTTCTCTGAGGGGAGGCTCACCTTCCCACACTTTGAAAACCCCTGCTCCAAACAACAGAAGTAATCTATGAATCTCAACACAACGGAGAAACATACAAATCGTTTTTGGGGAGGAGGTGCTGCAGTAATGACATGTATTGTTTATTTTTGACATTTTTGTTTTAGCTGACTGGTTTTTTATTTTTTTGTACGTCTGTTTGTCTTCTGTCTTTGTGGGATTTGGTTTGCCCTGGCAGTATTAACATTGTTACTCCTATTTTTCTATAAAGTGAAGATTTGTTTACCTACTTTTTATTCATACTCTGATAGAATAACTGTATGCTGTTATTGGTTGATAAGCACACTCTCCATGACAAAAGGCATAGAATGGATAGTGATATCAATAAGGCTGTATCAATAATACAAATAAACCTTATTTTATATTCCTAAAGCCATTTCACAATCAACTAATAGCATTACAGACTTTAAAGTGGACCTATCATGCTATATTTGAATAAAATATTGTAGGGCCATACCTCTATAAAACCTGTCTGTGAAGTTTTTTTTCAAAATACCAAACAGTTCATGCATTTTAGCCATCCCTCATTTTGCTCTATTTGCTCTTTTTTAGCGATGTTTTTGCAAGGGCTGATTCTGTGAGAAGTCTTCTTTGCTTCTTTTGTGGCAGACTACAGCGCCACCTACAGGCCTGGCATATGTACTACAGCGTCTCCAGCGCTTTCGAACGGCAATGGCCGTGGCTGTCTCCTCCTGATAGGGTTCCTGACGTCAGAGCGTGTTCAAATCTGGATCAGTCTGTATCAGATCCGTTGCAGCCCCGTTTTTAGAGATTTGGGTACGGAGGAAACGAGAGAGGGTTGTGTTTTCTGACACTTGGTGAGTTCCCTGACACACCGGGGACATATTCATGTATAAAAGATGTACAAAAGTGCATTTTGCATGATAGGTCGCCTTTAACATACATGTACGTCTCCCTCTTTCACACACATCAATGCTATTGTCATTAGTAAATGCACCCGCCTTAGCTTAGGTATACAAGTGTTACTCCTTTTCCTGGAGTCCAAATAAGCGGAGATTCAATCAATCAATCAATGTTTATTTATATAGCCCAATATCACAAATGTTACATTTGTCTCAGTGGACTTTACAGTTTGTACAAAATATCAGTATGACAATACGACACCCTCTGTCCTTAGACCCTCACATCGTACAAGGAAAAACTTCCAAAAAAACCCCACAGTTTAAAGGGAAAAATGGGAGAAACCTCAGGGAGAGCAACAGAGGAGGGATCCCTCTCCCAGGACGGACAGACGTGCAATAGATGCCATGTGTAAATTGAAAAGATAATACATTTGCAACATAGGTAGTCCAAATGTTTGGAAATGCTTGTGTGTATAATAGGAAAATGAATCCACGAGGATATCCATCCAGGACCTATGATCCAGGACCACAGCCACGACTCAAGATCCAGGGCTCGCGATCGAGGACAGAGGAGCGCAGGATCATCCATGACTCCGGATCCCGGCGTATATAGACACCAAAAAGAAAGACATTTGGGGAAGCTGGGTTAATGGGAACATGAGAGTACACAGGTATAGACAGAGAGAAGGAAGAAGTAAGATGTCCCCCGACAAACTAAGCCTATATCAGCAAAACTAGGGGCTGAATCTAATCAGCCCTAACTATAAGCTTTATCAAAAAGGAAGGTCTTAAGCGCACTCTTAAAAACGGATAGGGTGTCTGCCGCCCGAACACAAACTGGAAGCTGATTCCACAAATGTGGAGCTTGATAAGAAAAGGCTCTGACTCCCATTGTACTTTTAGAGACTCTAGGAACAACCAACAACCCTGCATTCTTGGAACGCAATGCCCTAGTAGGACAGTAGGGTATAATGAGTTCTTTAAGGTAAGATGGCGCCTGCCCATTAAGGGCTTTGTAGGCGAGAAGAAGAATTGTAAATTCTATCCTGTGTTCTATAGGGAGCCAGTGTAAGGCAGCCAGAACAGGAGTAATGTGGTCCCTTTTCCTAACTCTGGTTAGTACACGAGCTGCAGCATTTTGAATCAGCTGAAGCGACTTGACTGACTTCTTGGTACACCCTGATAATAAAGAGTTACAATAATCCAGCCTTGAAGTAACAAATGCATGGACTAGTTTCTCTGCATCGTTTTGAGGCAAGATATGCCTGATTTTTGCAATGTTACGTAGATGGAAGTAGGCGGTCCTTGAAATTGATTTTATGTGGGCGTTAAAGGATAAATCCTGATCAAATATAACACCAAGATTCCTTACAGTCTCACTGGAGGCCAAATTAATGCCATCCATAGTTAGTATATCCTTAGATAATTTGTTTCGTAGATTCTTCGGGCCAAGTACAATAATTTCAGTTTTGGTCGTGTTTAACATCAAAAAGTTTAAGGTCATCCACGTTTTTAAGTCCTTAAGGCAGTCTTGAATTTTATTTAGATGATTAATTTCATCAGGCTTGATTGATAAATATAGTTGAGTATCATCCGCATAACAATGAAAGTTTACAGAATGATTCCTTATAATATTGCCTAACGGAAGCATATATAATGTGAACAAAATAGGTCCGAGCACTGAGCCCTGTGGCACTCCATGGCTAACTTTGGTTTGTGTGGAAGATTCATCATTGACACGTACAAACTGAGAGCGTTCAGATAGATAGGACCTAAACCAGTCTAAAGCAGTTCCCTGTATGCCAACTAAGTGCTCTAGTCTTTGCAATAAGATATCATGGTCGATAGTATCAAATGCAGCACTGAGATCGAGCAAAACAAGAATAGAGACACGTCCCTTGTCTGAGGCTATTAGAATGTCATTTGTGACTTTAACCAGAGCTGTCTCTGTGCTATGATGTGTTCTAAAGCCAGACTGAAAGTCTTCAAATAAATCATTGTTTTTTAAGTAATCACACAACTGTTTTGCGACCGCTTTCTCAAGAATCTTTGAGAGGAACGGAAGATTAGAAATAGGTCTATAATTGGCTAAAACCTCTGGATCGAGGTTGTGCTTTTTAAGAAGCGGTTTTATCACTGCTACTTTGAATGATTGTGGAACATAGCCTGATAATAAAGACATATTCATAATGTTTAATAAATAAGTGCTAATTAATGGAAAAACTTCCTTCAACAGCTTAGTTGGAATTGGGTCTAACATACACATTGATGGTTTAGAAGAGAGAATCATTGAATTTAATTGTTCAAGGTTTATGGCTGAAAAGCATTCTAGTTTACTATCTAGTGTAATATTAGAACTTACGTTTCCGGGAGCTGTTGATAACACTATACTGGTCAAAGACAAGAGGTCATTAATTTTGTTTCTAAGAGTAACAATTTTATCGTTAAAAAAGCACATAAAATCATTACTACTGAGTGCTATGGGAATAGAAGGCTCAATCGAGCTATGGCTCTCTGTCAGCCTGGCTACAGTGCTGAAAATCAGTTCCCATCGGCGAAAACACGTGGGTTTGCTATCCTGGCTCCAAGATGGTGGAATGAGCTCCCCATTGACATCAGGACGGCAGATAGCTTGCACATCTTCCGGCGCAAACTGAAAACTCATCTCTTTCGACTCCACTTCGAGCGTTAGAACGATTAACGAAGCACTTTTATACCAATAAAGGACTGGCTTATCTAAAGCCAGTTGAGTAGCACTTGAAATGTTTGGCTCTATGAAACCTGATATACTTATATGATTCTGTTTTCTTCAAGGTTGTGTCTTCCTGGTCGAATGTACTTATTGTAAGTCGCTTTGGACAAAAGCGTCAGCTAAATGCAATGTAATGTAATGTAATGTAATGTAATGAAAAGAAATCTTGCATTATTCTTATTCTCATCTATTAATGAAGAGTAGTAAGCTGCTCTCGCTTTACGCAGTGCTTTCTTATATTCATTGAGAGTAATATGCCAAATTAAACGAGATTCTTCAAGTTTAGTAGAACGCCATATCCTTTCAAGTTGTCTCGACTTTTGCTTTATTTTGCGGGTTTCGGCATTATGCCATGGAGCTAATCTATGTTGTTTTATTTTCTTCTTTTTCAAAGGAGCAACAGAGTCTAATTTTATTCGCAGCGCATCTGTAGCACTATCAACAACATGATCAATTTGGGGTGGTGTACATTTTGTATAAGTTTCCTCCCTTACATGCAGACATGCTATCGAGTTAAGTATTGGTGGAATCTCTTCCTTAAATGTGGCTATAGCACTAACAGATAGGTTTCTGCTGCAGGAGCTTTTGGCTAATGCTTTGTAGTCTCGTAACAGTACTTCAAAAGTTACTAAGAAATGGTCGGATAAAGCAGGATTATGCGGTTCGACTAATAGTTGCTCAATTTCAATACCATAAGTCAGAACAAGGTCGAGAGTGTGATTATAGCAGTGGGTTGGTTTATTTACACTCTGACAAAAACCAACAGAATCTAATATAGAGTTAAATGCAACAGTAAGGCTATTTTTATCATCGTCAACATGAATATTAAAGTCACCTACGATAATTACTTTATCTGTTTTAAGAACCAAAGTTGATAAAAACTCAGAGAATTCAGATAAGAATTCTGAATAAGGACCTGGTGCACGGTACACTGTAACAAATAAGATTGGCTGCAAAGTTTTCCAGGTCGGATGCGTAAGACTAAAAACGAGACTTTCAAAGGAGGTATAATTTAATTTTGGTTTAGTATTGATAAGTAAACTTATAACTTAGATTCAACATACAATTAAGCCAGAACATAGACCTCTACAAAAATAATGAAAAACTCATTATGCATTGTGAATTTGTTTTATTTAATCCAAGATTAAATAACAGGTATGTTTTACTGGTGGCAAATTGACTTCCAAAACATAACTTTCACATACAATGCATCACTTCATGCCTCATAAAATAAGTGGCCAGACTCTTTCAGCACCGCTGCTCACCACCAGTTCGCCCTGATCGGTCAGCTGAAGGCGGCAAATCCCGGGGTTAGGTCTTTTAGAGCGTGCATCCCACAGGGGTTTGCCCCCCTTGTCGTAAATGACCAGGTTGCAGTCACTCTGCATGACCAGGCGGAAAGCTGGTGACCCATTAGTGTGTGAAGCCCAGACAGGCTTCCAGCCATAGACCACAAAGTTACCATCCTCCTGCAGCAGAAACAGAGACGTCTGCATGTTAACTTTGCACTTTTCAAAACAGTTGTTCTCATATTTTTGCCTTCATCATGAATCCTTATAAGAGTCTCAAGTGCACAAATATTCTGAGTCACTCACCTGGAAGACAGCCTTAAACGCTCCGTTGTTAGACACCAGAGAGTCTCCCTTGTGGAGCTCACCATTATTGGACAAGAAGTTCCTGCTCATGATTCTGCAACAACAAAAATTCCCTATTATAAACATTTAGATCCCTGAAAATGCTTTGAAAACATATTTTGTTGGTTTGCCATTTTATTTTGTACCACCACGAGTGATTTTGTATACGCTGAGTGGTAATTATCTTTTACATTACATTAGTTTGTACCCAGAAAAGTAATATGCTAACAAACTGCATTCATTCCTTCATGTACAAAACTATCTTTTAAACAAAAAAGTATGAACCCATCTATCAGGATGTAAATAAAGAATACTTACAGAGATTTCACCTGTCCGACTGCAAGAAGAGGAAAAGGAGTGAAGTGCCTGAGAGGGAAATGCACCTGCTGTTTATTCACCCGAGCTGGAGGTGGGGAGAGAAGGGGGGGTCAGAGAGGGAGTGCTATGCCATCCCTTTTTAATCAGAACTGCATCTTATGTGGAACGCTAAACCAACATACTACATTACTCATTAGCGTGTGTATTCATTTGTAACTAGAGAATACCCTGAGAGGGCGGATAAGTAGTGGAATTAAATAAGTATTGGTGTTTTATCAGAAGTTGTAAAGTGTATTGAGCAAGATTACACACACTGCCCAACAACAACAACAACAACAACTGTTGAATACAAAATAAACTGTAATACATTGAGTCAGGATATGTAATGGTGAACTGTCCTGAGTACAAGTATTGAATAAATCCTTGCAATTACCTTTTTTTGTTGCAATCTTGCTGGACAAAAAGGAAAAGCAACTAATTGGCTATCAATGATGCATACATGAACAAGAAAGTGTGCCCCAGGGATTTGACCAATCTTTGGTTATCAGTCATTCTCCGCAGGAGTCGACTCACGTGCCCCTGCGCGCCGTCTGCGTTTGATTAACCCCTTGACTGCCTCACAGTTTTCTGATGTTTTTAATGCTTCTCTGATCTGTAATTTAGAGATGAACTGTGCTTTTAGTGCTGATGAGCTTATCTCCATGTTTGACTCGACATGTACCCAAATACTCGATTCTGTTGCTCCTTTTACGCTTAGACGCACCAAGGCTCTCTCACAGCCGTGGCTCAATGACTGTACTCGAGCTCTTAGACGCGCTTGCAGGCGTGCAGAGAGAAAATGGAAAAAGGACAAACTCCATGTCTCCCTAGAAATCCTTCGTGCTTGCCTAGCTGACTACCAGACGGCAGTGAAAGCAGCCAAAACACAGCACATTTCTCTGTTAATCTCCAAAAACAGCCATAAACCTCAGGTTCTTTTTAATGTCCTTAACTCGATCATTAATCCCTGTGATGTTTCTCCAATTGTGCCATCGACTACTCTCTGTGATAAGTTCCTTAATTTTTTTTATTGAAAAAGTATCTGCACTTAGACTAGCCCACACTAGTGCTACCCCAGATCCTGCTCCTTTTCTGTGCCCTGCTGTTCTCGACCACTTTGAGCCTGTATCCCTCTCTTCTCTCTCGGATGTTGTCAAGCACCTGCGGCCGACAAACTGCACCTCAGACAGCATTCCCTCTCGCCTCCTTAGAGATGTTTTGGATTCAGTTGGAGCAAGTATTTTATTACTTATAAATACCTCTCTTAGCTCAGGATGTGTCCCAACTGCCTTCAAACATGCCGTGGTTAAGCCACTACTTAAAAAGAAAAATCTTGACCCCTCCATTCTCGCAAATTTTAGGCCCATTTCCCAGCTACCCTTTTTATCTAAAGCCCTGGAGCGAGTAGTCTATGTCCAGCTGCAGTCGTTTTTAACCACGCATGGCATCCATGAAAAGTTTCAGTCTGGCTTCAAACCAATGCACAGCACTGAAACAGCCCTTTTAAGAGTTTTTAATGATCTGCTACTAGCCGCCGACTCAGGTAGCCCAGCTGTCTTGGTGCTGTTAGACCTGACAGCTGCCTTCGACACTGTGGACCATAGCATCCTGCTGTCACGGCTTGAACAGTCCGCAGGCATCACAGGCTCTGCTCTTGCATGGTTCAGGTCTTACCTGACAGACCGTAGCTTTTTAGTGCAGCTAGGTGCCTTCTCCTCTGCCAAAGCCCCTCTTACCTGTGGGGTCCCCCAAGGCTCAATTCTGGGCCCCATCCTCTTTTTACTGTACATACTGCCCCTAGGTTCAATTCTTACGAAACACAATATTCCCTTCCACTGCTACGCGGACGATGTACAGATCTATCTACCTCTCAAAGCAAATGTCAACTCACTACAGCAGTTGATGGACTGCTTAGCAGAATTAAAATCCTGGCTGAGCAAAAACTTCCTCAACCTCAATGAGAGCAAGACCGAGGTAATCTTTTTTGGACCCCGACCTCCAGCCTCTCCGGTTGATATTCTGGGCTCCCTTAGTAAAAACATCGTCCCCTCTGTCATGAACCTTGGAGTGACCTTCAATAGCACTTTTACATTCGACAAGCAGGTCAGCACCGTAGTAAAATCCTGCTTTTTTAAATTAAGACTATTGGCCAAAACCAAGTCGTATTTATCTTTTAAAGACCTGGAAAGGGTCATTAACGCCTTTGTGACCTCAAGACTGGACTATTGTAACGCTCTGTATGTGGGTATGGACCAGGCATCAATTAAACGCTTGCAGCTAGTCCAAAACGCAGCTGCACGTCTCCTGACTGGCCACAAAAAGCGTGACCACATCACCCCAATTCTGGCCTCACTACACTCAGGGTCCCCGGGGAAACAGCGGAAACCTGTCTCTGAAACAAACTTGCGCAGCATGCTCTATGCTGCGCAAGTTTGTTTCAGAGACAGGTTCCGACTGGGACCAGTGGTTGCCATACCTCCTCTTCGCCTACCGGGAGGTGCCACAATCCTCAACCGGATTCTCACCTTTTAAACTGTTGTATGGACGTGAGGTGAGAGGTCCCCCTGGATCTGTCCCCTGGAAAACATTGTATCCTACGTGGTCAAGATGAGGGAGCGGTTGGAGAAAATGGCAGCCCTGGCCAAGGGGAACCTGATGAATGCCCAAAAGACTCAGAGAACCTGGTATGACCAGAAGGCCAGAGAAAGAGTGTTTCAACCTGGTCAGAAGGTGCTGTTGCTGTTACCTTCCAGTGAGAGCAAGCTGCTGGCTAGATGGCAGGGCCCATATGAGGTGTAGAGTTATTTTTGTATTTATTCATGTTAGCAAACTATGGATAAGCTTAAAATGGGAATAATTTGGGTAAAACTGTGAGCTGGATTTGGGCCTGTTGACATGTGTTTTTGAGGACAAAGGAAGATGGGGGAAGGTGAGAGCATGTCCTGATTTGCATTCAACTTAGATCTAGCTACCGTGTTTGTGATATTAAGAGAGGTCCCTTGGGTTTCTCTGGTGGTTATCAATAGTAGCAGTTAAGTGAATACTGTTCAAACAATACCTGTGTTTGTGTTTTATATTGATTTCTCCGTTTTATCCTTTCATAAATGTAAGGACTACAAATGGCTATAAACATTCTGGGCTGGTTGGAGTAAACAGGGTTTTATTGCTCTGTGGGGGAGGTGTAGGTATGCAGGCCTTGAGACCTTTTGTTGTAAAGTGAGCCTGTTTGGTTTCCTGCTGGCCAGCGTTGCGTCTCCCAATGAGATGACCTGAAAAGATGACCAGCTGACCTAACACCAAACCCCTCCTTCTTACTCTGGTATATATCCGGTGGATCCCTGGCGTTCGGCCTCTTCTTCACATGCTGCCCTCGGGTGAAAGTAGCTCTGCAGTATGCGGACCAGGGCAGGAGTAAGCCGGCATTACTCCTTAAGCATTACAATATAACTGTAATATATCATGTTGTATTGTAATGATTGTATTGCATTGTCATATTGCCATTAAAGTAGAACTGTTACTTTGTAGATATGGATTCCTTCCTGTATTATAACCAGCTTCATAGGAACGCGCGGAGATTTGAAAAGCGGACCAGTTATCCCTCCAAATCCCCAACAAAATGGTGACCCGACGTCTAGAGATAACGAAGCTGAGGAAGAATTCAGACGCTTTCAAACATCTCAGACAATCAGCAGGACTCTGCAACTTTGCAAATAAGGTAAGCAGACGATGAAAGTCGCCTGTCTGTAATTGGATACGCTAAAACTTTAGGATTGTCTGTAGGCGTTTCACAGTGTTTTTATAGTTTAAATGGAATATACAATGCATATTTTACTATGTTAGGAAAGTTATATACAAAACGTAAACGTTGATCGACAGGTAGACGAAAGTCCTGCGTGACGTAAAATAGAGCAGTTTGGCGCGGATCTGCAGGTAGATTATTCCTGAGTGGCGTAGAGATGGTGCAGTTTGTTATGCGAGGTTTGATTCCTGCACGACAAAACCTGGAAACTCGATAAATCAGATCGAGTCGCCGTTTAAAACTGGGGTTTAAATAACAGACCAATGCTAAAAGCTTAAAGCCAGAGGTCTGTTATATATTAAACCAAGGTAGAGCGTTTCCCTTTGTCTGGAAACTTCTGCTGCTGCCATCTAGTGGCTGAAAGGGGGTATCACACCCTTGAAACTTCTGCTGCTGCCATCTAGTGGCTGAAAGGGGGTATCACACCCTTGAAACTTATGCGAGCTTAGAGTTTAATCATTACATTGCTGGCCGGTATTGAAGACGGGAAGCACGTTCCCAGTATATTAATTATAACTGATTTTGGTAAACTGGTACAAAACAATAAGGGATTGAACATTTTTTACAACGACAGCACCAGGAGATGAGTAAACTCAAGAATCTGTAGAGTGTAAATACATTGTGCAAAACACATTTTACACTCGAACTGTTTGCAAATTTAGACAATATAAATAAATGTTCAGAAAGAAGACATAGGCCTACACTTGATTCAAATTTCATTACTGTGATCCGATTGGTGTGCTCTGCAGGTTTACTATTGTTCGAAGTAACAGTGGGATTTAAAATGAGAGAACATATGGAGATGTTCTTTCATAGTGTGTGGAATATGTGATGCTGGAAACATGTAAGTATTTCAGAGTTGTGTTGGGTAAATATGTAACAATGGATGAAACAATTTTTGGAGTGAGTTTTTGTAATATCATAAGTAGACATTAATTATGTTGTTTAGATGGCATTTAACAACTAAGACAGATAGTATGATTAGAAAGAGACAGAGTGGAAAGGGTTGGATTTATTTAACATCAGTGGGCTAGACTTCTTATAGGTAATGTGTACCGAGACCTGGACTCCCCCTCTGAGTTAGAAAGGCTTTGATCCCGACCCTCCAAGCAGACAAAAAGACCTAACCCAACAGGAGACTCCTCCTTCTCCATCGTACAGACAGAGAACCAGAGCTGAACCAACAACAACAACAAGACTACATCAAGACTGCAGCCAGAACTATCTCCACCTGTGGCATCCAGAAC